TTATGTGCACCCTCCACACAGACCCCAATCACCCCTGAAAATTTCATTGAAATCGGGCAAGCCGTCTAGGAATGATAGAAATCCGAAAAAAACACGTAAAGCCAAACAGAATTAATTTTTTTTTTTTTGTTTTTGCAAAACATGCAAAGATACACACATGAAATTTCTTATGTGCACCCTCCACACAGCCCCCAATCACCCCTGAAAATTTCCTTGATATCGGGCAAGCCGTCTAAGAGGAGTATGCGAACAGGAAGTTTTGCCACTTAATTTTATATATATAGATTTTGATGTTTTGTCTGACGGAATACTAATATAGGACCACCTACTGCAGAATATGTAAAAAAATAAACAAATATGCAATGTTGAATATAATAATAATAATAGATTGGCGCTTACACATATGTTAGTGTTTGGCCGAGCTTCTCCTCCGATTTGTGGCATGCGCCTTGATGTTGTCACACAAAGCGGAGGGACCTACAGTTTTACGCCGACTGTATTTTTTTATGAGAAGCTGTTTTTCATGGCAGAAATACACTCGGAAGTTTGCCATTGCCTGCCGAGGGACGACCGCTGTTAAGAAAAAACCTTTTTTCTATATTTTTTGCGATGTTGCTTTGACCAGGGCTTGAACCCAGGTATTGCGGAGTGGAAGCGCGCGAACCACACGAATATAAATTAAATAAATACAAGTTAAAAAAAAAAAATAAAATAAAGATTAAAAAAATAAATAAATAAAAGTAAATCAAAAATTAAAAAAATGTTTTTTTTATTGATATTTTATGTCCAAAAGTAGTTACAGGTTAGCTGACATGTAATGCAGGGGTATCCAGGTCTGACTTTTTTGCGGCCATCACTCAACAAAAGTAGTTAGTTTTTTTCGAACAAAATATACAGTTAATAGTTAGCACCAATGTTCGCGTAAGCAGACTAAAGTTAGGCATAAGCTAACGTCACTCCCTGCAATGTCTGTATCCCATGTACTACATATATGCAAATTATAGTTGCTAGTTGCTATTGAAAGATTTTAGAGTCAGGAATTTTTATATATGTATATCTGAGGAAATTTGACAAAACAACTTAAGTCTATCTTTGACGCACAAACCGCAAATAATGCTTCACGACTCCACGATTGTGGTCTGATGATATTTTGACGCAGTGGCGGCGAAGAGCAGTCTTCAAGGCATTGAATTTCTCATATTTTTAGTTGATACTTTGGCCTCGAGAATGGACCATATGGAAAAATCCATTGGGTTTAAGTCCGGTGAATATGGTGGTCATTGTTGTGAAGAAATGAAGCTGGAAGTTTTTTTTCCTAAAAAACGTTGGATATCGCGAGCTTTGTGCGGTGGTTCCGAGTGTATTGAAACGTACAATTATTTATACGAAATTGTTTTCGTGTCCAAGGTAATAAAATATCGTTTAAAATCTCTTCATGGTAGATTTGTTAATTTACCTTTACGCCCTGCTCAATGCAAAATTCGACTAGACGATATTCGTGCAACATGTGAAGCATTCCCGGACATCCAGGCTAAATTTGGCTACTCTTCTTAAAATTTGACTAGCAAAAATTTACAAAATTATAGCATTTGTAATTGGTAACACTTCAAGTGGATAAGTACTTATATCCTACCTATGTCGCGTTCATTTTAGTCAAGATATTCCGCAAAAGGAGATGTTTTTGTTATTTTAAATAAGGATTAATTTTTTTATCAACAATAAAAAAGCTGGACTTCAATTCGATGTGATATAAAAACATTGCATCGTATGTTAACGTGCTCAGTGATAAATTGGCACGCTATGTGTTTGAATCTAGTATTAATATTGCAATTATTAATGTTATATTTTATATTAGGCCATGTTTATTCAGCAAAACTGTCCGAGCGAATCGTGGGCGGTAGCGCGGTGACACAAAAGAAATATCGCTACTATGTGCGGCTGCATTATCAAGGCGAGTTCAAGTGCGGTGGCTCTTTGTTGCGGAACAACGCTGTGCTGACGGCAGCGCACTGTGTCAAGGGCAGCAATATGAAGTCGTTGCGGGTACACGCCGACACTATACGCCTATCCGATCCAGGAGTTGTGAGGAGTGTTAAAAACGCTTTAGTCTCTAGATCATACAATGCGGATACACTGAATTACGACGTTGCAGTACTCATACTTTCTTCTGCAATACCAAGTGGGAGTTTCACATCCATTACACTGGATAAAAAGGCGGTGGCTAGTGGCACGAATTGTCTAGTTATTGGACATGGCTACACAAAGGAAGACGGATCGGTTGCGCAGCAATTGCAAGAGGTCTCGGTGCCAGTGGTAAGCCGAGCAGCTTGTCAACGCAAATACAGAGGTACTGGAGCTATTACTCAGTATATGATGTGCGCCTCGGTACCAGGGAAAAAAGATTCGTGCTCTGGCGATTCTGGTGGACCTATGATCTGCAGTGGGCAACAGGCTGGAATAGTGTCGTGGGGTATGGGTTGCGCGCGTACCAAGTTCCCTGGAGTCTACACTGACATTAGCAAGATCTATGGTTTTGTCGAAAAAGTTCTCAAGCAGTATCCATAAACATTGATTTTGTTCGGATGCAGAAGCAGAGTTCATTGTATTTGCTTCAATATAGTTAGTTTAGTTAGCGTGATATAGTATTTATTAAGAAATGTAGTAAAAGATACTAAGATTAAAAATGTGATAACTGTGTAATAGTAAATGAATATTTAAAACTGCTTCATAACAAGTTTTGCATGATTACGAAAGGCTAAACAGTGTTCAAAATCAAATTAGCTAAATATTTCAAATGCATCTGAAGTGTTGCATCTAAGGCTTAAAAATACATTGTACCAATTAGGTAATTTTTTAAACTTCTTGTATCTTTTAATTGGGCTCCACAAGCTTTTATCGGATAAGTAGATCTTCCTCTATTTATTTATTATATAAATTGGAGATGAAATACATCCGAAGTGCATACTGTAGAAGTTTTCCACCAGAATGTATCATACCAGGGATGTTGCGGATATTTGCATTCGCATTCGCATCAAATGATACGAACGTTTTGCGAATGTGTACATGGACAGAGAGTTCACTCTAATATTGTGGAATTGGCTCTAAGTCTGTCTAACCAGGGTGCGGGCAATAACCGGCTTTTAGCTTCAGGTGCTAAACGGTTGTGTAGTATATCAAGCAACATTGATGGGCCTTCAACAAGTACTGCTAAAAGTCTTACAAGCAACCTAGAAATAAAAAGCGAAGGCTCGGATTTAGAATCTGAAGACATTGAAAAATGTGAAATTAATGCTCAATTGAAGACCTATCTTAAAAAAAAAAAAAAACGAGCTCATCTCGGTGAAAATCCCCTCGATTGGTGGAAAACTAAACTAAAAATGACAAATTGACAGACCTGGCCCGCAGATATGTATTTGAGCGCTCCACCCGCCAGCGTTTTAAGTAAGCAATTGTTCAGTGCAGCCGGTCTTACATATATATGAGCCTCTAAGAAATCGCCTCATGGGAGAAAAGGCAGCGAAATTACTTTTTTTGAAATATATATAACTTTGACTACTAGATAAAAACACTGCATAGATTAAGCACTCGTTCAATCTTCTAATAATTCAAAAAATTTGTAAGTAACAAAAACTATGTCTTAAGTTGATTATACGTTTTTTAATGTTATTCCTAACAATAAACATATGAAAACATATAAAATGATGACATTCGAAACATCTCTAGTACATACATACAGACATATTTATATACTCCATAAATTAGTACATATGTATGTAAGTTTGTATGTATGTATATTCAACTAAATGTAGTAAATCTCTAATTTCACAGCTTAACTAATTGCACTGTTTATCTTTGCATACGTACATATATAGCAGTGAGGGATAATAGAGTTGCAATACAAAGGATCTCATTCATTAGTTATATCACGAATACTTCATAATTATTTAATTTGCATTTGTGCATCGAAAACCGTAACTAAGTTAATGTACTCGTAGCAAAATGCGATTCAGTTTAACTCTTCGCTCGCTTGCAGATAATACATTTCGAGATGCGAATACGAATTCGATATATTGAAATATTTCTTTTACTATTTTTACAAATTACTGTAAATATTGCTGCACAAAAATTCTCCACTCTATTGGATGGCAGAATAGTAGGTGGTCAAGAGACTAGCATAGAAGAAGTACCGTATTTGTTGAATTTACGAAACAGTGGTCAATTCATCTGTGGCGGATCATTGGTAAGCGGACGTTGTGTGCTTACAGCTGCACACTGTGTCAAAGGCGTTCCAGCTTCGAGTCTAACGGTACACGCTGGCGCCAGTCGACTGTCGGATCTGGGTGTGACACGTCAAGTAGAACAGCATTTCGTATCACCGTTCTACTCAACCGCCACTTTGGACATGGATGTGGCAATATTGAAATTGAAAGATGCTCTTAGTGGACCAAGCATTACTACAATTGGTCTTTGTAATAAAAGTCCCAGTAGTGATCAGTTTGTAAAAATTTCTGGTTGGGGCATTACGAACGAGTTTAATGAGCGGCCATCCGATCAGGTGCGTACGACACATGTGCGCGTTGTAGCCAAGAGTGATTGTATGCAAGCATATTTGGGTAAGGCGCTGCTAACGAGTACAATGCTCTGCGCGACTATACCGGGAGAAAAAGATTCCTGCTCTGGCGATTCTGGCGGGCCATTGGTCTACGACGGCCGCGTTTGTGGCATTGTTTCGTGGGGATTTGGATGTGGACGCAAAGAATACCCTGGAGTGTATACAAATGTAGCGAGCCGACGAGTAAACGCTTTCGTAAAACAAATTTTGATGCAACACTGCCTTTAATATTTTTTACTTTCGATTCTGGAGTATCAATATGATGTGCTTTGCTTATAAATAAATCTACTTTCAAAGTTATAACCGAAGTATTTTTAGAATTATTGGTATTTATTACTATTAGGTTAGAAAATGAAACTTTTGGGTTAAGTGAGTTAATTTAAGATTATTAATTAACACTAAAATATGTAAAAATACGGAATACACCCGAAGCAAAACTTAGTGTAGGTTTTTTGGTTGGCTCGAGTACAACACCAAAGCAAAAAAGCTTCATTCTCATACTTGATGCACTTATCTATTGATAGCTTGACTATTTTTTATCCGATTTGAAAATACAATAGAATTCAGTACTTTTAAGTATCTACTCGACACTGAGCACATGTATCAAGGGGATGATTGGAACAGACTATTTTTGAGTACTGAGTACTTTCGAGTTATTTCAAGTTCTGAGTACTTTCGAGTTACTTTGCGAGTACTGAATACTATGGAGTACTTAGTATCGTTACCTTTAAAAATCGGGTACTGTCGATCCTTTTGGGACCCGAGTTCTGAGTACTTTATATAACAGTTTTCCATTTAAAAATTTATAATGTAAGGCTTTGTGAGAAATGCCTGCAATGCTGCTTTCTAAGCCTCCTGCCCAACCACACTCCCGAAGGGCAAAAAGAAACCCCAGTGGTGGAATCCTTCAGCACCGAGGACAAACAGCAAGAGGCTATTCAATCAAGCAAAGCGGACAGGTCTATGGCAACCCTATAAAGACGCACTCAAAGTCTACAAGCCCATAAAGAGGGCAAAACGCGAATCTTAGCAAAACTTCTGCAACAACATAGAACAAAACTCTGAAGCCAACAGGCGAAGGAAGTTCTTTCGAAATCTTCGAAAATCTCTTCAAGTATGAACTCTATCCAAAAGCCTAACGGTGACTGGACGTTATCATGTAACGAAATGCTGGAGGTCCTTACGAGCACTCACTTCCCGGGCTGCTCGGACGACACCTCCGGCAGTTCGCCTAGTCCTAGGACCACCTGTCTCTGGGGGATACCGTTAAGGACACCGTAAGTGATGAGAGGGTGGAATCGGCTTTAATGTCCTTTCAATCCTACAAATCCCCCTGCTTTCTCAGATTTGTACAGCCCGCCTAACTCCAACTCACATACCATACGAGTGGACGAATGCGGAGGTTGTATTCCTACCAAAAGGAGGCAAGGCCGCTCATGTGAATCACTTCATTATTTCTTAAAGCTCTAGAGAGGCTCATCGACGAATATAATCGACAGAATACTAAAACAGGCAACCTCTCCTCGAATCAGCATGCATATTCCAAAGAAAAATCTGTGGTGACCGCACTTCACGAAATCGTTTCGATGCTTGAAAAAGGATTAGCCATAAAGGAATACACGCTCGGAGTTTTTCTCGATATCGAGGGTGCTTTCAACAATGTCTACCCTAGAGATAAGCAAAACGGTGATTTGACAATCACCGTGAAAACTGTTACTGTCATTTTCTGATAACAGTGATTTTAATCGGTGATTTGAATCACTGTTTTAGAACTTTGGGAATTTTCGATAGTATAGCTTGGAACAGCCATTAAAAAAGCCGAAGACCAACGTAATAAGAACTCCATAATTTTATAATACTGTTATTACAATGTAATTCATAAAGCTTTAAATGTATATTAGTTTCTTATTGTAACCGCGTTATCAATGGGCAGTTGCAACTTCTACTTGACCTTTGACGTACGTCAAAGGGAACATAGTCTTTTTAACATTTTTTTTTCTGTGCTTTAAATACCTGCATTGGTTTCTTTTTTTATTATGACTTTTTTGGACCAATCTTAAAAAAACTACAAGACACCAAAGAAGAAAGTGTGCACTGTTCAGAGGGATATACATTGAATCCTTGGCTAAAAACTTCTGTGGTAAAAATGTCCCTTCTTTGCTATTTAAAGACAAATAGTAAGCTCCTTCAATAGGGATTTCCAGCAGAAATGGTCAACGTCTGGCTATAACAACAATAAAATTTGCAAATTTACCGAAATATGCAGATGCAAGACCATATGCACCGGAGTGTGAATACAATGAATTATGTTAAACTTCGACTGCTCTACGTCTTGTACGAAAGTTTGTATTTGGAAAATATGGTATTTCAACTAAATGAGAGGGTGTTGTCCGAACAAGGTTGCCACCTTTTTATAATTACCTAAAAGTAATTCACTTGTTTCAATATGTATATCAAATGGAAGATATCTTTTACAGCTTTAACTTACATATATGTACGTATTTGTTTAAATTTGTTTATCAAAAGGAGAGTTATAAATTTAAAACGGATAAGATAAGATTTAAATTTATTTCTATATTTCAAACTTTTTTTTTCTGATCACACCTGATAATATCTGAATTAAGCTTACAAGGAAAATGCGGAAAAAATAAAAAAAACTGGAGCTAGATGCGATGAATCTGCTTAAAGCGCCACACACTGAAACTTAGCACACCTAACGGTATTGACTCGTTTATTTTTAACTTAAGTTTTTTGTCTGAAACTAATTGAGTAAAGTATTTTAGATTCCATCATATTAACTAGTAATTTTTAGCAAAAAAAAAACCGACTTCAACTCTCATATAAAAAAAAAATATATATATATATATCTCATGATCCGCTGATCGGATCTTAACCAGATTAGTATGGGACCACCTCTGAGACACTACCTTTTCGAAATCGGTTGACGTGGTCCAAAGTTATGCGGTAACATACAAAAAAAAAAAAAAAAAAAAANAATATTCCGACGAACTGATAACCTCCTCCTTTTTTGGAAGTCGGTTAAAAAATAGTTCGAAAGTTCGATACTTATTGCTCTGAACTATTTTTGCTTCTATGTGCCCTTATTAATATATGTAAAGGCTCCTTCATCAGCTGAACAGAGTCTTAGATGGCTGTTCTTAAAGTCTTTGGTCCATAAAAATAAAAAAGTTTTGTGAATACGTATTTTTATTTAAAC